ATAGTTTTATTAAATTACTTGCTGAGTTTAATCCTATTGGACTAACTTTGTCCTGGGTGGAGGTAAGACTTGCGTTTGCATGAGATTTTTTTAAAAAAAATTATTAAATAGGTCTATACAAACACAGACAATCAAGTCCAATGGATATCTCTGCTAGAAGCTCACTGACATTGTTTTTGAAGTTATCACAATTTCAAGCTTAGAAAACATTGATAAAGTAATTTCTTTTCTTGATACATTAACCAGGCCACATTCTCACAGGAATGTAACAGCAGTGTATTATTTCTCATGTGAATCTCAGTTAAACTGTAGCAGCAGTGCAGGAGCAGAAGACAAGCCTATGCAATGTCTCTCTTCCTTTTCCTCCTCTGCCTGCATCTCCCTCTGCCCCAAAAAGCCTTTCCAGAGGGTAGTAAGGGCCTACCAATCATTGCAGATTGTGCAGGTGGCGGGTGGGAGCATGAAATCGCCTGAAATCTGACACACAAATTCCTCTGCCTAGTTTGAAGCAATTCCCAACTCCCACTGCAGCTTGCAGAAGGTTGGATAGAACCCTTAGATATTTATCTCTTTGATATGGAAGCAGGGCTATGAAATGGATTTTATGTAAGTGCTGGAAATATACAGTGGAAAATGTGCAGTGGTAAAGAACTCTAAAACTCTTTGTATGCATATGTGTGGGAGTGCATATAGTAGCCTTCACCACAGTCGTTTTCATGGCATATTATAAGGATGAAAAAGGGGTCTGCCCTCTTATTTTACCTTGTCGGCTGGAATCTGCAAGGCCTTATAGATGACTCTGTAGCGGCCAATGGGTCCTTTTAGGATAATGTATAGAAGAATATTTTTAATAGAATATTTATGTTGAAGTAATGACCCTCTAAATATGGGCCATTAAGATAACAAAGGAAGTGGCTCTGTGCCAGATAACAAATGAGTGGGCCCTCCTTCCTCAACTCCCCTTAAAAAGACAAAGAGGAGAGTTGAGAGTTGAGTTATGTGAGCTAGAAGGTAGAAGCAAGGCTGCAGGTTGGGAGATAGAACCATGATTGATTTATGCTGGAATCCAAGGCTGCTGCTTTGGGAGAAGCAAGACCCTCCTGCTGTGAGTCCCTCCACCATAGGCCCAGGTTGTATATGTGTGTAAATAAACCATATATCTTACTGTAAAGGCACCATAGTCTTGCTGTCTCTCATTCTGAGGAAACATGAACCTGGTTATGTGCCCAGAACCCCTGGAATTTTGCACCTCATGGAAATTGGGGTATCGTGTAAAAATATATGTGTGTGCATGTAAAATTTAAATTCTATCAATGCTTAATTCTTTTTTAATGCTTAATTTCCCCCTATGTTTTAACTGCTCCTATTTTCTGATCAGGATTTGGCTTCAGAAACCAAACTGGATAGCCTGTGAGTCACTTTTCTGAGTCAGTTATTTCCTGAAGCACAAAATCAGGAGTCCAAATTGTATCTTGTGGTTGGTGTCTGTGCCTAACACATTGTATCGCTTCCATTAGAAATCCCATTTTATTATTATTATTATTATTATTATTATTATTATTATTATTATTAATATATTATTATTATTATTTGTTATTTATACCCCGCCCATCTGGCTGGATTTCCCCAGCCACTCTGGGCCGCTTCCAACAGGATATTAAAACACAATAAAAGATCAAACATTAAAAACTTCCCTAAACAGGGCTGCCTTCAGATATCTTCTAAAAGTCAGATTAAAAGTTTATTTCTTTGACATCTGATGGGAGGGTGTTCCACAGGGTGGGTACCACTACCAAGAAAGCCCTCTGCCTGGTTCCCTGTAAATTTGCTTCTCGCAGTGAGGGAACTGCCAGAAGGCCTTCGGCGCTGGACCTCAGTGTCCGGGCTAAACGCTGGTGGTGGAGACGCTCCTTCAGGTATACTGGGCTGAGGCTGTTTAGAGCTTTAAAGGTCAACACCAACACTTTGAATTGTGTCCGGAAACGTACTGGGAGCCAATGTAGTTCTTTCAGGACCAGTGTTATGTGGTCTCAGCGACCACTCCCAGTCACCAGTCTAGCTGCCACATTCTGGATTAGTTGTAGTTTCCGGGTCACCTTCAAAGGTAACCCCACGTAGAGCGCATTGCAGTAGTCCAAGCAGGAGATAACCAGAACATGCACCACTCTGGCAAGACAGTCCATGGGCAGATAGGGTCTCAGCCTGTGTACCAGATGGAGCTGGTAGATGGAGCTGATTTCCTTGAGGTGTGATGCCTTCTAAAAGGGCACCTCGTTTGCAGGTAGTTTCATTGCTTGAAACTAAACTGAAAGCTGTTCTCCGTGAACCCTCAGGAACATTTCCATTTAAATGGGAATCCAAGAGAGTCCTAAGCTTCACATTGCAGAAACAACACTACAAGCTTTGTAGCTGCTTTAACAGAGACAGCTCACTAGGCATCTGAGCCCATAGGAAGAGAAACTGAGGCTTCAGGGGCTAGCCATGTAGGCTTTAGAAACTGAGGCAAAGGCCAGCCAACTAAAAGTGAAGCCAAGAAGAAAGAATCTGAAGTAGGTGGGCTGCTGAGGTGACATATTAACTATTCAATCCTACAAGACAAGAAGAGGGAGTGTTAGGAAAATACCAGTAGATCAGTTTGGATGCCAATAGCGAGAAAATAAATAATAAATTTCGGCTTCAGACCAAAATGCATTGTACTTATTCAGAAAAGGAAGGGGATTTGCAGTTGTTGGTGTGGGGGAGAAATTCCTGGTATTCCAGCAGTGTTACGGGGATAAAGAATGATTTTAATTTAAACTCATTTCTTGCACTCTGTTATTTCATCTTCTGTTTAATTAATAACCAGTTGTATAGTTAAGTGTTCCCAGCATATCTGGCATTTTTATTATTCCATTATACAAAAAAGTGCTAAGATTTACTCTCATTTTTGTCTTAATTGCAATTTATTGCCCCTTTGCTATTTTCCATATGAGCATTAAAACATCTCCTATACTTACTTTATACTTTTCAATTAAATACTTTGTCTCTTTAGTTCAGCATACATTTTTAAAGTTTCTTTCATCTTTTTTATACTTCATTTATAACTTTGTCTTTACATGGTAGATCATTAGTATATTTCTTGAACAATTTGATGCCCTCTGAACTTATAGGCACAGCACATAAAAAGAGAAAATTAGAAGATTATAAGTATTTTTTTAAAACTTCTCTCTGATTACTGATTTGCTGCTAGTTGGTTTTTTGGGTTTTTTTGAGGTGGGACGGACGGACTTGAAAGCTTTTAATTCACGAAAGTTCCAAAATACAGCACAACTGTTAGTTGAACTAAGGCCACAGTAGTAAGATTCTTCACAGTTGGCGGGGGGGGGGGGCAACATGTCCATCCAGGCAGATTTTTACATTTTAAAGGAAATGTTCGGGCTGGGGGGGTGGTTAATTCAGGCAACTTGGACTTGGGCTGATCTGCATGCCACAGCTGCTGCCAGCCCAAGTCAGGGAAAGAGGCATGGGGTATTATTATTATTGTTGTTGTTTAGTCATTTAGTCGTGTCCGACTTTTCGTGACCCCATGGACCAGAGCACGCCAGGCACTCCTGTCTTCCCCTGCCTCCCCCAGCTTGGTCAAACTCATGCTGGTATCTTCGAGATACTGTCCAACCATCTCGTCCTCTGACGTCCCCTTCTCCTTGTGCCCTCAATCTTTCCCAATATCAGGGTCTTTTCCAGGGAGTCTTCTCTTCTCATGAGGTGGCCAAAGTATTGGAGCCTCAGCTTCATGATCTGTCCTTCCAGTGAGCACTCAGGGCTGATTTCCTTCAGAATGGATACGTTTGATCTTCTTGCAGTCCATGGGACTCTCAAGAGTCTCCTCCAGCACCACAATTCAAAAGCATCCATTCTTCGGCAATCAGCCTTCTTTATGGTCCAGCTCTCACTTCCATACATCATCATCATCATCATTATTAATGAGGTTTAGTTGAAGGGTCTCACCCATGTTGACTGACTGTGCTGAATAATGCTACGCAATTGCCAGAAGAGTTGGCAATTTTCCCTTTCCTAAGTTTGAATTGCACAAGTTCAGACTAAGATATTAAATTGTGGCAATGACAATGCTACACATGTGTAAGTAAACACAGAGCACCTAGCTTCTTCTGCTAAGAAAGAAAAATGGGAGTGAGTGCCTGTTACAGATGTCTTTGAAGGACACCCTTGGCTCACATGTCCTATTGCTCTGAAGACTAAACTGTATTTTGCCAACCAGTGTATCCATGGCATCCTAAAAATAAAATTAAAAAGCTTGAGATTTACCCCCAAAATTATGCCTTGTAGACATAATGATTGTGCTGAAAGTACTGAAGGCATCATTGTAAGATCTGACAACATTCATAAGAAAAATAGGCGAGTTTTGAAGCAGTTGTAGTTGTGCATGGAACACTAGTGGGATTCTGTCCACAGCAGTGAGACCCTTTGTTCATCTTTTGGGCTCACTATACTTCCATATCTTGGATGTAACATTTGCTTAGAGTTGCCACATGTAGAGTTGAGTAAGGTCATTTCCTGAAAGGAGAATTAACAGCCACACTGATCAGGTCTATAGTCATTGAGTCTGTAGTCATTATTTCAAATGTTGAATACAACAATGAATATCTGATGGCACCAATACATGGTGCAGTGGTACCTTAGTTCTTGAACTTAATCCATTCCGGAAGTCTGTTCGACTCCCGAAACCATTCGAAAACCAAGGCACGGCTTCCGATTGGCTGCAGGAGCTTCCTGCAGTCAAGCGGAAGCTGCGTCGGACGTTAGGCTTCCGAAAAACGTTCACAAACTGGAACACTTACTTCTGGGTTTGCAGTGTTCAGGAGCCAAAATGTACGAGTACGAAGGCATTCAAGAACCAAGCTACAACTGTACAAATGCACTCATGAGCTCACTGTGTACTGGTCTTGTGTGTAGGCTCTATATTGGTCCATAGTTTTACACCAGTGTTTTTCAATCTTGGGTTCCCAGCTGTTGTTGGAGTGCAGCTCCCATCATCTCTGATCACTGGTGCTGCCGACTAGACATGATGGGAGTTGTAGTCCAACAACAGCTGGGGACCTAGGCTTGAGAAACACTGAGCTGATGATGTTGAATTGGTTGACCCATACAGGAAAGTGACTGACACCCACCATTTCCAGTTTCCTAGCTCTTTCATTTCTGTTGCTCTTTACTCTGGGAAAGTTCCAGGTTAGAAGGTAGTAGAACAAGAAACCATAGCCAACAACTAATGATGTCAGATCAGCCAGGGTCAAACTGAACTCTGAGTAAGGCAGCATTTTCAACCGACTATCACCTTACAAGAATGAAATAATGAATATTCTGCTACTGCCCACATCCAAACCTTGTACTGGTTTCATCCTGGCATTTCAGCCCCAGAGCATACTGGGTGATGTTTAATATTTAATGATAACTGTGTTGGAGTGAATGCACAATGTACACACACACACACATATATTATTTATGCCTCTTTTACTATATATAAATTATATTGGATGAACCAAAACAACTGAGCTGGTTATCTAAAGTGTGATCTCCCAAAAGGCCTTGTTAAGCAAATGTAAATTGCTTGGATATTATTATTTTCAAAAGTAAAGTCACCTGGGCCAAAATATGTCTGGGTTGCCTTAAAATCACCCCGTTCCCTAATTTATTGACAATTATAATAAAATACATACTTACAGTGTGTAGCATTCATTTAAAATTGCAGGTACTATGATGCTAAGCAACAGGCTAGACACTTTTATTTACCTATAGTGTTATGTTAAACCACAGAGGAGATGGCAGGAAAGCTATTAATGTCATATTGTCAGCACATGGGAATCACCAAGGAACTAATCCCCATAGAGTTACTAATACTAGTACTGAAATCAACAGGTTGTTCATGTTCATGTTCGACTGCAAAGGTTTTTTCCTGATGATAATTGAAAATTTTTCTATTTGTGATTCTTAGCAACAGTCAGAAACAGAGGTTTGCAAAAGGGAAATTATGCATTTATTGCGTGCACAGTACACATTTGCTGTAAATGCATACCTCATTTGATGAAATGATAATCATGACAAATAAAAAGATACATGTACAAAAGAAGGAAGAAAACACATATATGATACAAATTAAGCTTGATTTTGCTCTCTGTGACTGCGAAATTGAATAGGCATATTGATACACAGGAAATCCCATTTATAATTACATTCTAAATTGCATGTGCCTCAATCCCTTCCCCCCCCCAAAAAAACCAGAATGTAGAACAAAAATTATTTAGATAAATGGGACAGTGAATTATGGGGATATTATTGACGCTGAAATGTGTGCTCTGGGACATAATCTAGACACCAGAAACCATTTTGGATGAAAGAGATTGGGATAAATCTCATATGTCCACTGCATTATGTTTAACACTCTCAGAAGCTGGTATTGAGCCCTGTTATTGTGAGGTACCATGCAGTGTTAGAAAAACCTTTACATACTAATTTTATTATGGGGGCATTAAAGAAATTATCTCTTTGGCAGAAGGATACAAGTGGAAGTCTCACATGTCCATAGGAAAACATGGGGTTAAAGTGGACTGTATGTTAGGCTGTATTCAGTTGACTTGCTGTGTGGGGAGAGGCTGAGCAGTCCTGGCTAATGACTTGTAGGTACTGAATCCTCAGGTCTCTCAGGTGGTTTCACTCGACCAGTTTCAGCAGAATGATGAAAAGGCTGAGATAAAATAAACTGACAGTTGCTACTCATCGCAGGCAGCAAGCTGTACCCCAGCAGCTGAGACCCTGGGAGCCCTCTTTTTTTAAACAAAGGCTTTCACTGCAGTGAGCAATGAACTCCACACACACAAAAAGGGAGAGGGAGATTGGCAGCTGGTGACCGACAGGAGGAGGGGAAGGAGGAAAACTGGGAAACACAGCAATTGTTGGCTAATTAGAAGCCGTTCCCACCTACTTAATACCAACCCATTAAGCAGAAAACACTTTTTCATCTTACTCTTCACATGACATTACTGCTTCACATGACATTATACTCCAATCAATACCCTCCCACTGGCTGCCTCAGTGCCCACAAATGAATACATTTCAGTTCAAGAATGCAGTAATTGAGTTGGGGCAATGAAATTGGAGCTCTCACAGACAAGATCTTTCTCTGAAGATACTAATATTATATTTGTGAAGCTTGGATAAAGAAATCAGATCTTCCTATTGACAGATGTCTGAAATGGGCAAATGAAAAAAGACAGTGATTAATATATTTTAACCTTTGCATTTAAAGACTGGGACAATTTCTATTTTCTGTTACTCGTTTCTCTTTTTGATAGAAATATATTGATATAAGTTTACATAAACAGCAAGCCTTCTGCAGTTTCAAGCATTATTTAATGGCAGATTGATCTTTTATTTGCAAGTGATTCAGAATAGAAACAGAGGACCTATTAAAAAACCATTCATGAAATGACAAACCCATCATGTGGGAACTTTCTTCCCAATGATGACTACCATGTAGTCAACATGTGACAAAAACTTCAGACAATCAGGCTGATGTGATAAGAACATGGAGTTGGATTCTTAGTTGTCCTTACAGCTCCTCCCATTTTAAAAAATCATAATTGGTAGCAATTGTTTGTATCACACTTCTCTGAATATGAGGGAAAGTAATCCTAAATTCATCTTCCCCTTGTTTGTTTAGCCGTTTAGTAGTGTCCGACTCTTCGTGACCCCATGGACCAGAGCACACTTGGCACTCCTGTCTTCCACTGCCTCCCGCAGCTTGGTCAAACTCATGCTGGTAGCTTCAAGAACACTGTGCAACCATCTCATCCTCTGTCGTCCCCTTCTCCTTGTGCCCTCAATCTTTCCCAACATCAGGGTCTTTTCCAAGGAGTCTTCTCTTCTCATGAGGTGGCCAAAGTATTGGAGCCTCAGCTTCAGGATCTGTCCTTCCAGTGAGCACTCAGGGCCAATTTCCTTATGAATGGATAGGTTTGATCTTCTTGCAGTCCATGGGACTCTCAAGGGTCTCCTCCTTACCTCCCCACAATAATGGAGGAGGCTCTGATCCAGTGGAGGCTAATACTGGGAGAAGTGGGGGAAGCTATTTTAACTGATTTCCCCCATGTCCTCCAACAGCTCCCAGTGCTATCTCCCATCAGGGCCATCTTTACCTGGGGGTGCAAGGGGTGCCGAATTCTGGGGGGCACCCGCTGCTGAAGTCACCTAAGCTCTTAACTATCTACCTGTTGTGAAATAATAAATAATTTTGATCAAGCTAGAAAACAAAATACATATATACCTAGGTGTTACCGAAATGTATACCTACTGTTTCACTAAAGGACTTTCAACTTTGTGCACTCATTTACCAAAGACGCACCAGCAGTGGCACTTGTCATTCACAATGGTGGCGCTTGTCAGACTCAATGACGGTGCTTGTCAGACTCAGCGGCGCCGTGCACACAAAATTAACTCTTACATCAAAATATTATGTTACGTATTGTCTGGGAGGTAAACTTAATTTGTTGGCGCTGGGCGGATCTTTGCACCCCGGCGGCACACATGCTAAAGACAGCCCTGTGTCCCATGCTGCTATTGAAATCCTCTGGAGCTGTTTTTGAGAGGGCATAAGGGGGCTGCAGGGCAGGGAGGGGTTGCCTTCCTCTCCTTCCTCTCCAGCAGGAATGTTCCATAAGCCAAGTTCCATTCACAGAAAGTTAGGATCCAATCCAATAGCATCTTAATCCACCCTTCAGTGTAACTCCTACCAAATTAATAACACTTTTTCTTGAGTTGTTCTTTGTGTGGAGCTCTAATGGATAATGATTTATTGTGTGTGTGAAATTGTTTTGTTGTTTTTGCCATGCTTTGTTGTGAACCACGTACAATATATGCAGATGAAGTGACTCTAGGTGAGTAAACTTACAAGAAATGTAGAGGTTCTAGGGGTTGCTCGTGCGTAAATCGGCACCCCACCTGGCTGGGTTGCCTGAGTGAACCTTTTCTGTCCGGACAGCTACCCGCCCGTGGCTGTCTCAATCGCTGGCAGAATCCGTCAGTGGGCATTTCTTGAACTTCTTCCAGCACAGAAGTTCTTTGACGCCCAGTCTCCGCCTAGTCTCCCTGCGCGGAAGCCTTCTGCGAAGAGTCTGCGAAGAGTCATGGAGCCACCTTGCCGATTCCCCCATCTGCCCCCCTTCTCCACTGGTGCTACGCTGATTTCCTTCCCCAGAAGATGTGCTGCTTCTCTCCCTCCCGGGACGCTCTCCGGAATCCCTCTGGAGCCCTCCCTCTCCCCCTGGCTCCGATGGCAGTTCCCTGACAAGGAAGTAAGTTCAAGCGATATTAGAGGGCTTGCATCCAACTAGGACTGCAACCCCATGTAATTAGATACAAAAGCTACCTTGAATTCAGTAGCAACAACTTCTGAGAAAACATGCTTAGGATCACACTGCACTTGATTTTGGAAGCCAGAGCAATGGGAATAGTTCTGCAGTTGACAGATTTAGAAACTCTCTGTGCCAAAACACGTGTGGTAAATGTGAAGATACTGTGAAACCCTTTTGGCCATAAGCTGTGATTTCCCCTGCCTTTGAATTCCAGAATTCCAGAATGCGTCAGTATAGAAGGAAGGAACTTTTTCAAAGGAAGTGTTATGCTTCGACTTCTTATGCATTTTCATTCTATCACACAGCTCTTTTTTTTCCCCAAAGCCACAAATTGAAGGTTTATAAATAGAAAGCAACTCATAACCCGCCTGTATCTATCTGTCTTCTTTCCCATGTTCTTCTATTATTCCTTTTCATCAAGCTTTATTGCATGCCACTTCTTGTCTTGGAACAGACTAGGGATAGGATAGAAATTTGATTCAGTTTGCATTTAAAGCTGATCCTACCTATTTCACACTTTCCAAAACAATACTAGAACTGAAACACAAACACATTTCGTAATGTGCACATCTCTGAATTTTGTGATGCAGTTCTCCAGTCAAACAGTGTTTACAAAAATGCATATATTAGGGCAAAGTGTGCATATAAATGAATATATTGGTGACAATAACATTAAAATGCATTATATTAAA